CACCAGAAGTGTTTTCTGTCTCCCATCTGCCGTTTCTGAAATCGCTGCAGCTCGAAGGAGAGGTTTCACCTTTTATCTGGTTTCTTCCCTCGGGATTGCCGTGCACCAGGCTGGAGCGGCTGGTGATAGCGGGCTCCTTTCTTGACCAGCTTCCGGACGACCTTGGAGAGATTTTGCCGTGTCTCCGTGAGTTGACCCTTAGCTGGTGCACAGGACTCACGCGGCTGCCTCGGAATTTCACGTCGCTGACCCAGCTAGAGAGCCTGAAGATCATCTCGTGCCTCAATCTTTCCAGCCTGCCCGACAACTTCGGCCGCTTACCTGCCCTGAAAAGACTGGTGCTGCGCAAACTGGCTCTGACCAACCTCCCTGACTCATTCGGGCATCTTGGATCCCTTGAAAATATTACCCTGTACATGCTCCCTCTCACGGAGCTCCCGGAATCGTTTCCTTACCTCACCTCCCTGAAGACCCTGATTATGGTTGCTTGCTGCGAGATCCAACAGCTTCCTGAGAATTTCGGCCGCCTTGGAGCTCTCAAAACGCTGTGCATGGTGAAGCAGCCAGAATTGAAGCTTCCAGTTGGATTGGGGGGATTGAATCGAAGGATTTATCAGGGAGAGGTCTTCAATCGGCTGCAGCTCCCGGGTTCACTCACCCAGTTGGCTTCGTTGACCCGGCTTGACCTGGATTTCATTTCCGATGAGAAGCTTCCCGAGGGAATTGGGAAGCTGAATCGGCTGCAGCAGCTGCACATCCAGTGCTGTTTCAATCTCAGGGAGATTCCAGATACCGTGACAGAGCTGACTAATCTGGATACTCTCACTATTGGGTTGTGCAGCGAGCTCGTGTCACTTCCCGATAGACTAGATGCCCTTTTCAAGCTGAAACGGCTGGAGATTATTGGATGTCACCATGATCTATGGCTGAACGGACCTCCTTTCTCCCTGCCGTCCTCTCTCGAGTCCCTGAGCCTGAACTACAACCAGACGATTCTTCTGCCGGACCTCCCTACGCTGCCGAATCTTAAGAAGCTGACGCTCAATCTGATCAATGTGGAGGGTGGGAAGAATCTAGCCAGTGCATTGCCTCAGTTAGAGCATCTGGAATTGGTGTTGGCAGAAGATACAGAGGAGCTTGCATTCCCCTTGGCCTCTCTCCCCCAGCTGCGAATCCTGGTGATCTCCAGGGCTGGTAACATCGAGAAGCTTCCAGGAAGCATCGGCTCGGATCTGAAGCAGCTCCGGCATTTGCAGATAGAGAACGCTCCAGAGTTGAATGGGCTGCCAGAAACGATCTCTCTGCTTCGGCATCTGACCTCCTTGGACGTTCATGCACCCAAATTGACCTCCCTTCCCGCGAGCATCGGTGCACTATCCAGGCTAAGAGAGCTTGATCTGTCTGACTGTTCCGCCCTGGAATACCTCCCTCCCCCATTCACCCAGCTCGCCTGCCTGAACAAGCTGAATCTTGAGAACACTGGCATTCGTTCGCTTCCTGAAAACTTCGCGCAGCTGACCCGGCTCAAGAGTTTGGACCTGTACCGGTGTGCGAGATTGGAGAGTCTGCCGGAAGATTTCTCTGAGCTCGAGGTGCTGCAGTTTTTCAGGTTTGGGGGATGTACAGATGAACTGAACACGCAACGGGAACAGGAGTTTAGAAACTGTGGCATGTATGGGGTAACAATTCAGCGTTATTAATTGTGCATGCATGGCTTGGTTGTCCAAGATTATTCTTTGCACAGCATGCTTGGGGTGTCTTGCTGGGTGCTTTGCATTGGGAGATATGGGTTTAGGGGTGATTGTTGAAACTATAGGCAAGAACCAGAAACAGGAAAGAGGGTTTTCACTAGCAGGCAGTTGAGTACATATAGCAAACCCTAATTTGGGCTGTACTCGTTATAGAGTACCCCACTGCAGGCTAGACAAACATCACATTCTGACACACCTCCATAGTCAGAGTGGGGTACAATCAACACAACAAGCAAGCAGAGCAATAGTTCACAAGTATAAGCAAAGCTAGAGGCCAGGCCCTCAGATTCACTTTTAGGGACGTTTATGCATCAGTGTCCCTGTGAGAAAAGGCCTGAATTTTCAGGGTTCCTAGAAAAAAAGCCTTAATTTTCAGGGTTCACAGAAAAAAAGCCTGAATTGTCAATCACAATATGCCGTTTCGAATAAGAGTGGAGGGATTCGGACCGGTATCCTTACCATTCGGTATTGTTCCGAAAACCACTGAGCCAGTTCATCCTGTTAGGTGCCGCTGACTTACGATTTTTAGCGGTTCACAATGCGGAAATGTTGGTTTCTCTCGGGTGTTTCACGGGAAGGATTCGGAATGTGCATTCAGTGTACACTTCGATAAAGACTGAAAAATCAGTGTTAGCTATGAAATAAAGGCTGAAAAATCAGTGTCACAAAAATCTCAACACTGAAGAATCAGTGTAGGTACACAAAACTAGGCTGAAAATCAGGAATTTCAGGGAAAAATTCCTGATATCGTAGAACCTGCTAGAGGCTATCACAGAGGGGAAGTGAGGAGGAGAAACTGTGGGGGGCGAGAAGATGGGAGGCGACGTGTGAAGCTGCAGACACACGGGCAACAGGAGTGCGCAGCACTGACGCTACCAGGCGCAGAGCCCCGGACTACACGGCGACAGGCGCAGCTGGCTCTCTGTGCTCCCAGGAGTGCTCCCACTGTGGCTACTGGGCGCAGAGCCCCGGACAACACGGCCACAGGGGGTCGTGGCTCTTTGGACTACCAGGAGTGCTCACACTGTGGCTACCGGGCGCAGAGCCCCGGACTACACGGCCACAGGGGGTCGTGGCTCTCTGGACTTCAGGCGCTGCGGACGACAAGTCGGCTACCTCCGGTCAACCTCCCCCAACTGTCCCACACCCCTTTCACACACTCCCTGCTGTACCCCTAGCAGTGCTCACATGCCACCCCCCTCGTATCACTCCAACGGCTCCAACACATCCACCCCCCTCAGCGGCAGCTGCAGCAGTGGGAGACAGAGGAGGAAGAGGAGCAGGGGACGGCGCACACACCTGTCACCCCCAAACTCGCCACCCCCACACTCGCCATCCCCAAACCCTAACACAGGCAGCAGCGGGGGGCGGTGCGCGGGCAGCAGCTGGGGGGACGGCGCGCGGCCCGGGCAGCAGCTGGACGGGCCGCGCACGGGCCTGGCATGGGCCGTACGAACCGCGCGCGGCTGTACGGGCCGCGCGCGGGCCTGGCGCAGACCGTACGAGCCGCGCGCAGGCCTGGCGCAGGCCGTACGGGCCGCGCGCGGGCCTGGCGCAGGTCGCGCGAGCCGCGTCGGGCGACGGGGGGCGACGCGCGGGTCTCCAGGGGCGCGGCGACGGGCGACGGGCGACGGGGGGCGACGCGTGGGTTGATGAGGCAGGAAACCGCCTCGCGCTCTCGGGGCGCGCGGCGGGCAGGGCAGAAAACCGCCGCGCGCCCCGAGCGCGCGGTAGGCAGAAAACGAAGCGCGCCCGAGGCGCGCGATAGGCAGGACAGCAGCGGAAGCTAACGGTGGGCCCATCCACAGGATCGACCCGGGAGGGTCGACCTGCTCTGATAGCATGTTGAAACTATAGGCAAGAATCAGAAACAGGAAAGAGGGTTTTCACTAGCAGACAGTTGAGTACATATAGCAAACCCTAATTTGGGCTGTACTTGCTATAGAGTACCCCACTGCAGGCTAGACAAACATCACATTCTGACAGTGATAGCTAACGAATATGTAATAACAAATGTTTTTTTCTAAAAGATTTAGCTTGCTTGATAATGAAGATGCCACAAAGATGAGCTGTTGCGCTTGGGTGCACGTTCCGTACATCAGCGTTTCATGCATTCTGTAGCATTCTGCCTGCCAGGCAGGCCTGCCAAGCAAGCACTGTATGCGGTGATTTAGGTTCTCATTGCACTAATGCCATTATATTGGGAGCGGCACCAGTAGCCAGTACTCACATGTCTCTCAGGCAGAGGCCAGCAAGACCTGCCAAGAAAAAAAACCAGGAGAGTTGAGTATGTGTAGGTAGTTGCACTTGGGTTAACCCTCCAAGCATGCTTGCTTCAACCCTACATATCCAAGTCAGCTGTAAGTGCTCATTTGTGGTGATACGAAGGCAGGCATTCAGGCGCCTGCTCCACACAAACCCTGCAGTTATGAGGGCTGCAAGCAGCTCATGTGCCAAAACACCGTCCTCACTGTCCCGCCCATGCCTGCTCCTCCTCCAAGCATGCGCGCTGCACTCCCACATCTAAGTCAGCAGTCAGTGCCATGCTATGAAGGCAGGCTCTCATATGGTGACCTTGGAGTCGCATTGGAACTAGAACACGCTTACTCCAAACCAAACCCTGCTGTTGTGAGTGAGCGTTACAAGCAGTTACTGTGCCAGAATCAGCCTCCTCACTGCCCCAGCTTCCTCAGCTTCCCACTCTGGATCCACGCACCATAAACCCAAGTCAGCAGTCAGTGCCATGTTATAGGGGCACTCATGTGGTGACCTTTGAGTCAAATCAGAATCAGCACTTGCCGGCTCCGAATCCTGAGCGCTTGAAGCAGTTCCTGTGCCACAATCAGCCCCGTCACTGGCCCAGCTTCCTCACCTTCCCTCTCTGCCTCCAAGTACGCTCCCACCCACGTCCAAGTCAGCAATCATGAATTAGACCGCGCCGTGCCTGCTCCGAAACTTGAGGTTTTCAGCGCTGTAACAAGTTTCTGTGCCACAATCAGCTTCCTCACTGCGCCAGTCGTGTCTGCCTACAAGCACGCTCGCTTGATGCCTACGCCCAAGTCAGCATCAGTGCTGTTATACAAACGCACCCATATGGTGGTGACGTGGAGGTCAAATCAGAATCAGAATGCGTCGGCTCCAAACCCCACTCCAGCTTCCTCAGCTTTCCTCTATGCTTCCACAAATGCCACTTGGTTTCTACACGCACGTCAGCAGTCAGTGCTCCCATGTGATGACTGTTGAGTCAAATCAGAATGCGCCTGCTCCGAACCCTGCTGTTATGAGTGCCCCAAGAAGCTCCTGAGCCACAATCGGCTTCCTCACTGCCCCATCCATCCCGGCCTCAAAGCACGCCCGCTTCACTCCTACATCCAAGTCAGCTGTCAGTGCTATGATACAAAGGCGGCCGTGCGTGGTTGCATCAGTTGCACTTGCTGCTGTTTCTGCTGTTTTTGCTGTTTCTGCTGCTGCTGCTGCTGCTGCATCACTGGCGGTTTTGTCTCCCTCTGACTTGTGCTGTGCACGCCGTGAGCTCTCCATCGCTCTGATCTGACGAGCTGTCTCAAATCTGTTGCGAAATGAGAGGCAAATGATGGAAAGAAAGGGATGGGAGCAAGGGAAACAGGGAACCACAGGAGCAGATAGCAACCACAATCTCTCAGTAGAAGCAACGAGAAAACAAGCAATAGCAAAACAGGAAAACCACAGTGAAGCAAGACCAGCAATACCAAGAGCATGTGGAGGTGAAGAAGTAGCAGGTACTTGAGTGGGGAGGGCGTGGGTGAGGTGAGAGACAGGTGAAGAAAATCACTCATCCGTCGATGTCGGGCGGCATGTGGAGGTCAAGCGACAGCAAGTGGATGGAAGGGGAGGTCGTAGCATTGGAGAGCGCCTGTTGAGGCGCCTCAAGAGCAGAGGAGAGTGCTTGCAGCGCCTCCTCCCCGAAGGAGTACAGCAGCAGCACGTGAGAGGTGAGAGGCAGGTGATGAGATGCAAGGCACTCACCCATCGATGCCGGGCGGCATGTGCAGGTCGAGCAGCAGCAGGATGGGCGCAGAGGCCGAGGCGGAGGAGAGCGGCAGGTGACGCACTCTCAAGAGTTCTCACCAGCAATGCAAATCACTCACCCGTCGATGCCCGGAGGCATCTGGAGGTCGAGCAGCAACAGGTGGATGGGCGCAGAGGGCGAGGCGGAGGAGAGTGCTTGGATGGCATCCTCCCCGGAGGGCAGCAGCAGCACGTGCGCGCCATAGCCCTGCAGCGTTCTGCGCGCCACCATGCGGTTCACCGCGTTGTCATCCACCACCGCCACCGACCGCCCCGCCACCGCCGCTCTCACGAACACCTCCGCCTCCTCCGCCTCCCACGCCCCCCCGGCCTCCCACGCCCCCCCCGCCTCCCACGCCCCCCCCGCCTCCCACGCCCCCCCCGCTGCACCGTCCACGTGCGCGCGCAGTCTTGGTAGAGAATGTGCGCGCCTTGTTTTCCGGCCTGATACTCCCACGGCACGAACCTGCCCCCCTTCCACGTCTGGGTCTTCAATGCCCTCCATGCGGGAGTGGGGTTTCGGGAGCGAGTGCGAGCGTGCTGTTCGCCGCCCCACCTTTCCCACCGCCGGTACTGACTCCTCCTCCTCCTCCGCCGCCGCAGCCGCCGCCGCAGCCGCCGCCGCCACCACTGCTGGCAACAACCCTTCAGCCGCCGCCACTTTTGGCGATACCCCCTCCACCTTCCCTGCAGCCTCCAAGGCTTCGAATGTGCCGGCCCGCGGCTTGAGGTGGGAGTGAGTTCGGGCTGACCGCGGCTGCCCCTCCTGCAATGGTGCCTGCTGCTGCTCGGATTCATGCTTCTGCTGGTGCAGGGTTGCTTCTTCCTTCACCTCTGGTATTGCAACACTCGCAAAATCCACACACTCCCCGTCACTCCCATTGCTGCATTCATCCCTTTCCCCACCTCTCTCCTCATCCCCCTCCCCATCCCAGCTACTGTCAGCGTCCTCCTCTCCCCCCATGGGCAGTGCTAGCAGAATGGTGGTGCCTGTGGCGGCGTCTGACAGCACTGCCATGTCTCCCCGCATCTCAGCCACCTGCCCGAAGAGAAGAAGGGAGAATGGGGGTGGTGGGGAGAAAGGACGAAATTTGAGTCTGACTCAAAAGGAGGTGGGTGCACAAAATGTGACAAAACGTAAGGCGAACTGATGATTTCAATAGAAGTGAAGAGGGTATACATAGTTGAGCAAGAGAGGGCGTGCTGGTTGGGCAATGGCCAATAAGTTGGGTTGAAGAATTCTTGGGCGGCCCCATTAATGCTAGCCAAAGCTGGGCCAACAATATGGGGGATCCAATAATCCCCAACCCAACCTTGGGTTAAAATCTGGGGCCAAGGATGTGTTCCAACCATTACCATTAACGCATTACTATTACCATTATCGCATTACCACTACTATTACCGCATTACCATTACCATTACCGCATTACCATTACCATTACCGCATTACCATTACCATTACCGCATTACCATTACCGCATTACCATTACCATTACTGCATTACCATTAGCATTACCGCAATACCATTACAATTACCGCATTACCATTACCATTACCGCATTACCATAACCATTACCGCATTACCATTACCATTACCGCATTACCATTACCATTACCATTACCGCATTACCATTAGCATTACCGCAATACCATTAGCATTACCGCAATACCATTACAATTACCGCATTACCATTACCATTACCGCATTACCATTACAATTACCGCATTACCGTTACCACACTACTGTTACCATTACCATTACCGCAACCAGTACCGTTACCTTTACCATTACTATTACCATTACCGCATTACCGTTACCGTTACCGCATTACCATTACCACTACCATTACCGCATTACCATTACAGCGTTACCGCTACCATTGTGAAAACGAAGGCACTCACAAGCGCGGTGGAGAGCAGGAAGCGAACTGGGTAGGGCGTCCAGCGGGGCCGAGCAGCCCCCCTCTGCTCGTGCGTCAGAGCGTCTGACGATGCGGCCCTGCTGCCATGGCGCATGAAGGGGATGGGGAAGAATGTGCCCTGGTGGAGGGTGGAGGGTGGAGGGTGGCGGGTGGAGGGTGGCGGGTGTGGGGTGTGGGGTGGAGGGTGTGGGGTGTGGGGTGTGGGGTGGGATGGGTGTACGGGAGAGGAAAATCAAGGAGGGATTGAGCACACAGGTGAAGCATTTGCGATTGGGTCACTCAATGCCTTGTGGGAACCTCTTGGCAGCGGACAAAGCAGAGACTGGAGCAGTGGAAGCATTTCGTTGCAGTCTTGAGACAACAGCCCCCCTGTGTGCTGCTTTCATGCCATCCACTTACTTTGATCCCTTGGCCATCCTCTTCGTCACCATCCCCGCCAGCGGGACCAACATCACCCTCTGGAGCATGAGAAGCGGCGTGGTGGGAGTCCCCATATGGGTCCAGCACCCACCGCATCTCCTCGGGTGGAATACCACCCCCCGTGTCTTCACACGCCATCACCACGATCCACTCTCCCTCCTCTCTTGCCGCACACACTCCCTCCACCCACTCCCTCACCTCCTCCTCCAACTGCCCATGCCTACTCCCACCTTGTACCTCCTCGCCCTCCTCCCCCACACTTGCTTCATTTGACCCCCCCATGCCTGAAGCTCCCTTAGCTGAAGACCCTAGGCGCCGGAGGAAACGTGAGAGGCGGGTGAGGGGCGACTCTTGATGCGACTCAGAAGAACCCGCGGCCTTCCCTGCCCCTCTGCTGCTTGCCTTGTGAGACGTCTCAAAAGTCCTCCCTGCCCACGTCTCAGAAGCCTTCCCTGCCCCTCTGCTGCTTGGGGTTGCGACCAGCTGCTGATGGAGCCGCGCCAGGCGGGTGGGAGGGGGGAAGCGGCGCACACAAGCAGCCAGCTGGCGCCATGCGGAGGAGCTCGGTTGGAGGTGAGAGGAGTGGGAAGCGGTGGAGGGTGGTGGGGTACGGGAAGGAGCAGTGGTAGCAGATGCGCAGGGTAGGTTGAAGCAGCTGGATGAGGCGTGTGGGGCAGGCGGGGGGGGAATGCAGCAGACTTGGAAGGCCACGCGACCACCAGCAGCATTGCCCATGGCGTGGACTGCAGGGGAGGAGGGGGTTCAGTTCACGGGGAGGGCCGAACACGATAACTGAGTCGACTCAAAAAGAGGCGGGGAGGGATGCCGCAGAGTTGGAAGGCCACGCGACCCTCGGTGTGGGCTGCAGGGGAGAGGGGGGTGGTGGAAGGGGGGTGTGTGGTGCGTAGGTGTTTAGTAGTTTTTTCGGTTCTTTCAAACACGTTCGGTAGGTCTTGTTTGGTACTATGTATAAATGCGTTACTAAAGCTTATGTACAGTATTCAGTTTAAGTGCGCTACATACTAAGTATCTGTGCATTAAGCTCTTCAATGACTTGTTTTTGAGTCGTGTCATGTCAATCCAGCACACACCCATGAGCTCCTGAACGACTTGCGCCAGGCGAGTCGGGTTTTGAGTCGACTCAGAACTCACACGAGCAGGCACGCACCCGTGAGCCGTGTTTTGAGTCGACTCAAAACATGGCTCAATTTTCACGCAGGCACGCACCTGTGAGCTCCTGAACGACTTGTGCCAGGCGAGTCGGGTCCCCCATGAGGACATCTGGCACACTCTCGTCGACGTGGCATGTCACTGCAGCGCACAGCAGGTACAAAAAGCCCACAGCACAAGCATAAGAGGATAGGTCAACGAGTGTGAATGAATGCATATATTTCACAGCACAGCCTCCAATAGGGCACATCAGTCATAAACAATTGTGAACGGGAGCGGGAACTGGCGTCCATCAGGCCGCTCATACCTTGCGGATCGTCTATTGATGCACCCGATTCAACACGTGCGATTGCCTCGTGAACAATGCCGCGCAGGCAGGAGGGGAGGGTCTCGAGTTGTAGCCTGCCGGCCTGCAACTTGGCGAGGTCCAACACTCGGTTGATCAGCTCCACCGTCTCGCCCGCACACGCCCTCGCCACCCTTAGGTCCTCACACTGCCACTCTTCCAGTTGAGACTCTAGCAGCTCTTCTATCATGCCTGCGCGGGAGGGGAGAGGGAGAACATGTGTGAAGACCCTCACACATGAAAGAACACTCACACATGTATGAACACTCTCACACATGTGTTAACACCTTCACACATGTATTAACACCCTCACAAATGTACAAACTGTCAGAAGACCTGCACTTGAGATCCCCGATGGATCATAGGGAAGGATTACAGGCTTAGAGTCTTGCGGTTATGGGGGCACTCACCAGCTACTAAACGAGCTTTTTTATCCAAGTGGTATAATGGCTGAGATTCTGACATGGTATCAGAGCGAATGTATTGGGTTCGATTTCTTTTTTGCACACATGCTGGAGCCCATGAGTCATTGCCGCTGTGCCGTACCCTAGGGCATCGTAGTGAAGAGCGGTGCCCGAAAACTTGCACTGGAGATCCCGGATTGATTCTAAAGAAGAGTTACAGGTTTAGAACTTATGGGGTTATGGGCGCACTCACCCGCTACTTAACAAGTCATTTTATCCCAATGATAGAATGGCTGTAATTCTGACATGAACATCCTCACACATGTATGATGAACACCCTCACACGTGTATGAACACCCTCACACATGAATGAACACCCTCACACGCGTATGAACACCCTCACACATGAATGAACAACCTCACACGTGTATGAACACCCTCACACATGAATGAACACCCTCACACATGAATGAACACCTATCCACATATATGTCCGTCCCCAAACATACATGTTCACCCTCTCTCCCTCACCTATCACGCCTATGAGTGGCGTGCGCAGCTCTAACCTATCACGCCTATGAGTGGCGTGCGCAGCTCTAACCTATCACGCCTATGAGTGGCGTGCGCAGCTCTAACCTATCACACCTATGAGTGGCGTGCGCAGCTCTAACCTATCATGCCTATGAGTGGCGTGCGCAGCTCTAACCTATCACGCCTATGAGTGGCGTGCGCAGCTCTAACCTATCACACCTATGAGTGGCGTGCACAGCTCATGCGAAGTGTTGGCCACCGTCTCGCTCTTTGACTTCTCAGCCCGCTCCAGCGTCTTTAGAGGCGCCTCAAAACTCACACACACATCTTCTCTCTCACACACACATACACACCCTCCCTTCCTCACCTATCACGCCAATGAGAGGCGTGCGCAGCTCATGGGACGTATTGGCCACCGTCTCACTCTTTGACTTCTCGGCTCTCTCCAACGCCGCCGTACACATCTGCATCTCTCTCAACCCCTCCGCCATCTGCCGCCTCTTCCACGCCAGCACGGCGATCACGAGGGAGACCAGCATGGCCACCAGCAGCACCAGCAGGCCGAGCAGCATGGGGGCATATACTAGGTCCCACTTGGGGTAGGAGCCTTCGAACCTGCACATGGGGATTCAAGTGAAAGGAGGAGGGAGGCGGACATGATTACTGCACTCAACCCCTCCTCCATCTGCCGCCGCTTCCACACCAGCACGGCAATCACGAGGGACAGCAGCATGGCCACCAGCAGCACCAGCAGGCCCAGCAGCATGGGGGAGTATACTAGGTCCCACTTGGGGCAGGGGCCCTCAAACCTGCGTGTATTGGGATTCATAGGGGGAGGAGGGAGACACGGATGGTTCATGTAAATGAGACAGATTTTATTCATGCTTTTTGAGGCGCCTGAGAACCCGCTTCCACGCCACCACAGAACAGCAATCACGGTGGAGGGAGACAAAGGGGTAGAGGGTGCCACTCTCCAGCTTCAGGGGATCCCCGTCTCACCTGCAGTGTGCCTCACCTGCAGTGTGCCTCATACTTGCGGCCCAACAGGTCCTCAGGAAAAGGCTCAATGTGCTTGGGGTAAGGCCCCACAGGGCCGGGCAGCAACGTAGGGGTAGAGGGTTGTCACTGAATATCATGGTAAGTGCATTATATTCTGTAACTGTGCTAACTGAGGTGTAGAGCAGTGTAGTATTGGTCATTCAGTTTGGACACGAAGTAGTTGGGACATTGGGAGAAGCGCGAAGTTGGTAGTATGGGGGATTGCAAGGCGCTACGGGCACAATTCCAAGGACCTCGGGAGACAGGAAATCTGGCGTGAGGCCAATCCAAGGCCAAGGCGGCTCGAGCCCAACCCATCCCGCTGAGCATCTCGCGACTGGGTGGCCTAGCATAAATAAGCCTAGCCTAGCATAGTACTCTTGTTCTCTCGTTTGTTTACCAGTGCATAGTGGACTTATGTTACCGTTCTAGAGCTACAGCAGCCAGGTGACAGACACCACTCTTGGTAGCCAGCTGTGGGAGACGAATCTCTCACAAACGAGAGAAGTGCAGGCGACATGGATCGCCATGAGCTGCGCGAGCAGCGGACGTACTCACGGCGGGAGCGTTCACCGTCGCGAAGGAGGCGCTCATCGGAGCGCGGGAGGTCGCCAACGCGCTCGCCCCGCAGAGCGGCGTACCGCGCGGACTTGGTGACGCCTACGGGCAGGCACCGTGATGATGGCGGATCGGATCCGCGCGTCAGATCTGAGCCGTGGAGAAGGCCAGTAAGGAGCGATCCGTGGAATCTGCCGGAGGGACAGCACGGAGGACGCGCGCGCCAATACGATGGCGACGTCGACATGCAGTCGCTGGATTCGGCGAGTGAAGCGGACAAAGAAGAAGACCATGAGGAAGCGTCAGCGGCAGAACGCGAGCTGTGTCGTGGCACGGAAGAAAAGGAAGACGCGACAGGTGCGCAAGGCGGCATGCAGCACGGCGAAATTGGCGAAGATGGAGAATCCCCGACTGCGCGGGGCGGCGAAAATCCCAAGAGCCAAGACGGAGAAGATTCCCCCACTGCGCGGGGAGGAGGAAGGCAAGGAGATGCAGAGAAGGATGATAAGGAACCAAGCCGACACGGCGGAATGCGGAAGCACGAGGCGGAAGGCAAGGACGAGGAGCACTCACCAGTGAGGCGGCGTGAAAATGACGCGCCGCGAGGAAGCGCCAAGGGTGCGGAACGCTGGTCGAAGGCAAATCGGGAAGGCGAAGGAGGACGGAACGCGCCTGCGGGTGTCTTCCGCTCGCCAGAACCAGGACTGAGGTATGAGCGCCGACGACGCATGGAGGCGGGTGAAGGGCAAGGGGCGGAGCGCGAAGATCGTGAAGAGGAGGAAGATTACGAGGATCGGCGCCAGAAAAGCCCGCGCGGAAGGGAGCGAAGGCAGGATGCGGGAAGGCGTGACAGGGAAAGAAGCCAGCGGTCGCCGAGTGGTTCAAGAACAGAAGAAAGAGGATGGCGGCGAGGAGAGCCTGAGCGGTGGCACCAGGAGCGTGCGCCTGCGTGGAAATCAGAACGGCGGGATGGTGCGGAAAGGCGCAAAGAAGATCACGGGAATGAGAGGAGGAGGAGCCCAAGTCCGACAGGGCCAAGGAGGCCACGGCCATACGGAGAAGGATCTGGAGGAGCGAGAGCAGCCCGCGAGGGGCTGGAGCGAGCGCTGTACGGGACCAGTATGGGAAGCAGAGAAGAGAGGGGGAGGCAGCGGGGAGCTGGGCAGTCAGCTCGGGGAGAATCAGAAAGCTGGGACACAGGCAGATGGGCCGCGACGGTGCAGCCAAGAGTGGAGGTGCCAGTGCGCTTCACGGGGAACGAAGGGACTGGCCCAAGCCTGAAGAACTACTTGATGCAGATCAGTAATGTTAAGTACAGGTGTGATCGGAGCGGTATGGACCCTATCGAGTTCTTCTTAAGCCTGCCAAACACACTGGGAGGGGAGGCGGAGACGCTGTACCGCATGAAAATCGGGGAATGGTTGAGGAGAGCAGAGGAGGATGGCGAGGACCCAACAGTACTGTTCCTAGATCGGCTGAGGAAGCAGTTTCCGGGGCACACGGCCCAACGCACTAGGGAGTTTCAGGAGTTCAGGCGTCGAGACGAGGAATCACTGCTAACGTACTACGGACGGCTGATGAGCCTAGCAGAGGACGTAGTGTGCACTGACAGCAGTATGATCATTAGCAAATTCTTGAACGGCTTAGACAAGGGGCTGGCAGGAGGCTTGAGGATGCGAGTATACGAACTGGGGGCTGAGGCGACACCTGAAGAGGTGTTTGAGCTAGCAGAGAGAGTAGAATTGGCGCAGCGGAAGTACGAGGTGTACCTACCGAGGCCAACTGAGAAGAGGAATCCCGCCTGGGCAGCAGCAGCAGTACCAGAGACGGGGGGAAGGGAGGATGGCCGATCGGAGAGGGGAGCTGAGACACGCACCTGCCACCGATGCAAGCAGCCGGGGCATCTGATGAGGAATTGTAGGAACTGTGACACCTGCGGGAAGCCGGGACACCGCCGCAAGGACTGCCCGGATGCACCAACATGCGAGGTTTGTGGGAAGCGGGGGCATAAAGGAAAGGACTGTTACCAACGCACAGGGGGGCCGAGGAGGACTCCAGAGGACATAGAGGGGCAGATAGGTAGGCTACAAGCGCAGCTGCAGGCAATGGGTGGGAAAAAGGAGAAAGAGGCAGGGCTATATGCCAGGGAAGACGAGGACGAAGCAGAAGTAGCAGAGGAGCCAGAGCCGGAATATAACTTCATGGTGCTCCGCAGCAGAGAGGAGCTGGGCCTGCGCAGCGGGGGCAGGGATGGGAGAAAGGACCACATGACCAAGGAAAGGAGCAGGCCGAAACAAAGGCCAGGGGAGAAGGGTGAGGAAGAAGAAGAGCCAGCAAGGCATCCCAAGGATCGGCTAGCCAGCCAGGCAACCGTGCTAGTGGCAGAAGCAGGAACGGTGGCAGTGGGTGGAGAGACAGCCAAGACAGCAATCCTGGACACGGGAGCGCAGAGCGTGATGTTGGGGAAGAGGATGGCACGGAAGCTGGGGCTGACTGAGACAGGACAATACATAAAGCGAGGAATGCAAGTAATGACCGCGGAGGGAGGCGAGCCCAAGTGGCTGCCATGTACAAGGGACCTGGTAGAAATAGTCCTAATGCCGGGAAGAGAGGAGCAGACTAGCATAAGGCTACAATGCGGGATATCAGACTCGGAAGACTTCGACGTGCTGCTGGGGACAGACCTGATTTGGGGCGTGGGGATGACCATCTGCACATGGAATGAGAAGGTGAAATTTCGGAAGCAGTATTCGGTGCGGGGGAGCAAGACGGGTGAGCTGCCTGTGCAATTCACTAAACAGGAGCCGAAGAGAGCATACACGGCGGAGCAAGCGGGAAGCGAGGGAAGAGGGAAAGCGGGCCTAGTGGGTGAAGCCGCGGTAGGCAATGCATGGCAGGAGCCAATCAGGCTGGTGGAGCTGTTCGGGGGAATAGGAGCAGGGCTGGCAGCGGTGCTCAGAGCGGGAGTAGCAGTGAAGGAGTGGATATATGTGGAGAAGGACGGACAAGTGAGAAAAATGGCCGAACAGCATGCAAGGAGACTGCAGAAGGAGCATCCTGAACTACTGGAGGAAGTAGTGATAAGCAAAGCAATGGCAGGGACTCTGACCGATGTGAGGAACGTAACACGAGAAGTGGTGAGGAGCTGGGGGCACGTAGATCTGCTGGTAGCAGGGTGGGAGTGCCAAGCCGTCTCAAGAGCAGGGAAAGGAAAGGGGTTAGAAGATCCAAGGGGAGCACTGCTAATCAATCTGCTGTGCATTATTGACTGGATCAAAGAAAGACAAGAGAAGGTGGTTTACCTACTGGAGCACCTGGACATGGAGGGGGACTGCCGGGAACCAGTCAGGAAGATACGAGAGTTAGTAACAAGGAAGCTGGGGAAAGGGGTAAGGTGTGACGCGGCCAGGTTGGGAGCACGGGCCCACCGTGTCAGAAGGTATTGGCAAAATGTTGTGACGGACGAGCAACTGCAGAAGGAGCTGGACGGGATACGAAGGGACTGGAGTAGGACAGTGCAAGAGATATTAGAGCCAGGTAGGACAGCGGCGCCGGTAAAGAAAGGCAGGCACGAGACACAGTGCCCATGCAACAAGGTGGGGGCAGCACGCAGGGCCTGGCCGACATTGGTGGGGTATAAGGGGGCAGCAGGGTTCAGGGAGGAGGGAGGAATGCCAGGGGAAGGCATGGTGTACGATCATAGAACGAAGAAATGGGAGGAGCCAACGGCATTGGAGCGGGAGCTGGCAATGGGGTATGGGGAGGACATAACAAAAGCAGCAGGGGTGACAGAACAGGAAAGGAGGAAAGCGCTAGGACAAGCTATGGACGGGCAGGTCATGCAGTGGCTAATGCGGCGGATGTGGAGAGGGCTAGTGCTGGAAGGGGAACAGGGACCGCGAAGCGAGAAGGAAGGGGTGAAAAAGGTGGGGGCATGGGTGTGTGTGGCAGCTCGGGAAGAGCCAGCGTGGGTTGTGGGGAATGCAATGAGCGAAGAGGGGAAGAAGGCAATGCAAGAGGTGCTGGCCAGGTACAGACATGCCTTTGCATTTAGCTTACAGGAGTTGGGGAAGTGCTCAGTGAAGGAGATGGAGCTGAAGCTGGTCACAGACGAGCCGGTGTTTCAAAGGAAGCGGAGGATGACGCCGGGGGATGAGGACATCTGCAAGGAGAAATGCAAGGAGTTGCTAGAAGCAGGACTGATACAGAAATCAGAATCGGAGTACGCTACACCCACAGTGGTAGCCGTGCGAAAGGACTTGCTGGGAGAGGTACTAAGCCGACGCATGTGTGGGGATTACCGAGCACTGAACAAGGTGACAGTGCCCAATAGGTACCCAATGCCGACAGCGGAGGACATCTTCGACCGACTAGGGGCAGGGGAGATCTTCAGCACGCTAGATTTGAGACAGGGCTTTAACCAGATCAGGATAAGGAGGGAGGACGTACGGAAGACAGCATTCCATGGTGCAGACGGACTGTATGAATGGTTGTTCATGCCATTCGGGCTGAGGAATGCGTCAGCCATCTTCCAAAGGGTAATGGACAGTGTACTGAGGGGGCTGGAGTGTGCAGCATGTTACATAGATGATGTAGTGATATTCAGCAAAAGTGAGGAGGAGCACGTGCGAGACGTGGAGCAGACGCTGAAGGCGCTGGCGGCAGCAGGGCTGACCTGTCACCCAAAGAAATGCAGGTGGGGGGAAGCGACCGTGCAGTATCTGGGGTATGAGGTAAGGGGCGGGCAGATAGGGATTCAGCAGGCGAAGGTTGAGGTGTTGAACAGGCTGCAGCAGCCGAAGGACAGAAGTGGGCTGAGAGCGGTGCTGGGTTTTCTGAGTTACTACCGAAGGTTCGTCCCTAATTTCAGCAAGCGTGCATCACCGCTGAATGGGCTGTTGAGAGAGGACAAAAGGTGGGAATGGGGGACAGAGCAGGAAGCAGCTTTGAAGGACCCGATGGAGGCGGTACAGACAGCAACGATTCTGCAGCTGCCCAAGGCCGACAAGCCCTTCTGCTTGTACACAGACTGGAGCAGCCAGGGCATGGGGGCAATCCTGTGCCAAGAACTGGACGGAGAGGAGCGGGTAGTGGCGTACGCGAGTAGAAGCTGCAACCCAGCAGAGGCCAAGTACAGCTCCTATCACGGGGAGGGGCTGGCCGCGGTGTGGGCTGTGAAGCACTTCAGAGTGTACCTGCAGGGGAGGGAATTCACACTGATTACAGATCATCAGCCACTACAGTGGCTAATGACGCACCAGGGGTTGACGGGAAGGAACGCGCGCTGGGCTGTGACTCTGCAGGAATACGACTTCAAGATACGCCACAGGCCAGGGAAGACACTGCAGCATGTGGACGGGCTCTCGAGGAACCCGCCCGCAGCAGAGCCAGTGCACACGCTGATGATGCTAGCTAGGCAAGGGGAGGAGGCAGCAGCAGAGAAGCAAGGAAACAGGGGTCCACAGGACATATGGGAGGATCCCACAGCCCTGCGGTGGATCAAGGGGGAGACAGAGGAGAATGAGCAGGTGACAGACAGGGTGAGAGCACGAGGGCACCACTACCGATGGTACCAGGGACAGCTGCAACTGCAGTCAGTGGATGGGTGGAAGCTGGTGCCTGCACCGCAAGAAAGAGAGGGGGTAATCGAGGAGGTGCATAGGAAGCTGGGTCACTTCGGTCATGAGCGCACAACGCAGCTGCTCAAGACCGGCTGGTGGTGGGAAGGGATGAGGAAACAAGTCAGAGAGTGGGTCAGTGGCTGTGAAGGCTGCCAGAGGAGCAAGGCCAGCTTGACCCAGGCGAAGCAGGAGCTGCAGTCACTGCCGATAAGAGGGTTGGGGTTTTGGTGGTCTCTAGACATAGCCGGCGAGCTGCCGCTGAGCAGGGGAGGAAAGCGGTATATCCTGCTCATGGTGGAGCATGCAAGCAAGAGGTTAGAAGTGTGTGCGTTGCCGAGCAAGGATCCCAGACATGTGGCGAAGGCATTCAGGGGACAGGTGCTGTGCAGATTCGGGGCACCAGGGGAAGTACTCACTGATCAGGGCACGGAGTTCAAGGGGGAATTCCAAGCACTGCTGGACGAGGCAAGGGTGACACACAGGCAGACATCAAGGTACCATCCTCAGAGTGATGGTCTAACCGAGCGACTGGTGCAGACCTTGAAGCGGAACCTGAGGGCATACGGAGAGAAGCGGAAGAGGGACTGGGATGAAGAGCTAGACTGGGTGGCGGCAGGGTACAGGTTCGGGAAGCAGGCATCACTAAAGGACTACTCCCCGTACAGCCTACTGTTTGGAAAGGAACCCATACTGCCGGTGGGAGCACCAAGGGTGCTGACAGGGGTGGTGAGCGTGAAAGGAGCAGAACAGTGGGTGGCGCTGGCAGAAGCACGAGCACGGTACATGCGGGAAATGCTCCCAGCAGCCCTGGAGAATTTGCACACGGCACAGCTGAGAGACGCCCACAGATATGAGCAGCGACAGCAGCAAGGGGGCAGGAAAGCAAAGCCAGCAGTGACGGAGGGACAGGAGGTCTACATGCGCAGAGCAAAGAAAGACACGCTGGATGTGGGGCTGGGAACAGAAAGGTGAAAGGTTAAAGAGGTGAGAGGGTCAGGGGTGCTGGTGCTGGAGAACGATAGGGGTGAACGGACAGTGGATCACCAGACAAACACAGCGGCGGTGAAGGAGAGGCGGCCTCAGCAGGAGGGTCCTGTGACACGTGCACGGGCAGCCCGAGCACGAGCACAGGAGGGGGCAGGGAGTGGCTGAGGAAGGAATGACTGTGCAAGGTGAAAAGGGGGAGAAGGAGATTGAGAGCAAGAAGGCATGAACCAGGGGAGCAGACAGCGCAAGGCCGGGACAGGGAGCAGGTGAAAGGTAGGAGGGGGAGAGACTCCGACAGCTGTCACTGAATATCATGGTAAGTGCATTATATTCTGTAACTGTGCTAACTGAGGTGTAGAGCAGTGTAGTATTGGTCATTCAGTTTGGACACGAAGTAGTTGGGACATTGGGAGAAGCGCGAAGTTGGTAGTATGGGGGATTGCAAGGCGCTACGGGCACAATTCCAAGGACCTCGGGAGACAGGAAATCTGGCGTGAGGCCAATCCAAGGCCAAGGCGGCTCGAGCCCAACCCATCCCGCTGAGCATCTCGCGACTGGGTGGCCTAGCATAAATAAGCCTAGCCTAGCATAGTACTCTTGTTCTCTCGTTTGTTTACCAGTGCATAGTGGACTTATGTTACCGTTCTAGAGCTACAGCAGCCAGGTGACAGACACCACTCTTGGTAGCCAGCTGTGGGAGACGAATCTCTCGGGAGTGGCTGAGGAAGGAATGACTGTGCAAGGTGAAAAGGGGGAGAAGGAGATTGAGAGCAAGAAGGCATGAACCAGGGGAGCAGACAGCGCAAGGCCGGGACAGGGAGCAGGTGAAAGGTAGGAGGGGGAGAGACTCCGACAGGGTTCTGCTATCCACCCGCAGAGCTTCTCTTGCCTCACCTGCAGTGTGCCTCGTATTTGCGGCCCAGCAGGTCTTCCGGGAAGGGCTCGATGTGCTTGGGGTAAGGCACGACAGGGCCCCGCAGCACGTAGGGGAAGAGGGTGCCACTTTCCAGCCACAGGGGCACTTTGTCTCTCACCTGCAGGCTTATTTACCCGTACTGCTTCCTTCTCTCACCTGCAATGTGCCTCGTATTTGCGGCCCAGCAGGTCTTCCGAAAAAGGCTCGATGTGCTTGGGGTAAGGCACCACGGGGCCAGGCAGCACAAAGGGGTAGAGCGTGCCACTATCCACCTGCAGCGCTTCTCTTGCCTCACCTGCAGTGCGCCTCGTATTTGCGGCCCAGCAGGTCTTCCGGGAAAGGCTCGATGTGCTTGGGGTAAGGCACCACAGGCCCCGGCAGCACGTAGGGGTAGAGCGTGCCACTCTCCAGGCGCAGGGGATCCGGGCCGAGCACTTGAATGGGCTGCTCCGGGTCGGTGGTGTCGTACAGGGCGATTGAATAGACGCTGGTGGTGCTGACTGCAAGGGCGCGCATGCGCTCGCGCACACAGACACACACACAGACACACACACACACACACACACACACACACACACACACACACACAGACACACATGCATGCATGCATGGAAGGCATGGGGAACACATGAATGAAACACACACATGTTTTGGAATGTGAGCTCAGGGCCGAGCACTTGAATGGGCTGCAATGGGTCGGTTGTGTCGTACATGGCGATAGAATAGGCGCTGGTGGTGCTGCCTGCAAGGGCGTGCGCGCACAAAAGTTAGAAGGGAAAGGAAGGGGAAGGGAAGGGAAGGGATCGAACCGTTAGAAAGCAGAGAGAGGACTGCTTGGAGCTCGCGCCCCAGATAGGAGAGGTCTGCCCGTGCAGTTGAATGGGAGTTTTTGAGAATTCTCAAAAACTCCCTGCGAGGTCAGCCCATGCAGTTGAATGGGACTGACACTCTCCCTGAGTAGCAAAGGTCTGTTTGTGTCACTTTCATGAAGCGAACTGACGATCGTTATGAGTACGAACGAGTACGAACCGTTGGAGAGCAGAGAGAGGACCGCTTAAGGCTCGTTCCCCAGGTAGGAGAGGTCGGCCCATGCAGTGGGGCTCACACTCTCCATGGATCTAGATAGCTGGCTGAGGACCGTTACGAGTACGAACGAGTACGAAGGAGTACGAACCGTTGGAGAGCAGAGAGAGGACCGCTTAAGGCTCGTTCCCCAGGTAGGAGAGGTCGGCCCATGCAGTGGGGCTCACACTCTCCATGGATCTAGATAGCTGGCTGAGGACCGTTACGAGTACGAACGAGTACGAAGGAGTACGAACCGTTGGAGAGCAGAGAGAGGACCGCTTAAGGCTCGTTCCCCAGGTAGGAGAGGTCGGCCCATGCAGTGGGGCTCACACTCTCCATGGATCTAGATAGCTGGCTGAGGACCGTTACGAGTACGAACGAGTACGAAGGAGTACGAACCGTTGGAGAGCAGAGAGAGGACTGCTTCAAGCTCGTTCCCCAGGTAGGAGAGGTCGGCCCATGCAGTGGGGCTCACACTCTCCCTCCGCTGCTCCGGTGATGCGTTCTCAGGGACGGGATGGCGCAGGATAGGCACCACCATCACTGCATGCATGGATGGGTGGGTGGGTGGGTGGATGGATGGATGGATGGATGGATGGATGGATGGATGGATGGATGGATGGATGGATGGATGGATGGATGGATGGATGGATGGATGGATGGATGGATGGATGGATGGATGGATGGATGGATGGATGGATGGATGGATGGATGGATGGATGGATGGATGGATGGATGGATGGATGGATGGATGGATGGATGGATGGATGGATGGGCGGGTGGGCGGGTGGGCGGGTGGGTGGATGGGTGGGTGGATGGATGGATTTGCGAAGGCAAGGAGCAGTGGAGGCACTCTGGCTGGCAGGGGTGTTGAGTTTTGAGCCGACTCAATAACCAGACCCAACTGAGCTCACCAGTGCCCACACGCAAATGGCTGTTGAAAAAGATGGGATGTTGAGCTTTGAGCCGACTCAATAACCGCCAGTGCCTACCCAACTGAGCTCACCAGTGCCCACGCGCAAATGGCTGTTGAAAAAGATCGGCGGCGAGGAGACGGGCGTGCCATTCAATGCGAAGGGGAGGAGCGATGAAGGCACACTGGCGGAGAAATCGGTGAAGGCCTTGGGGTCGTTGTTGGGGTAGCCGCTGAGGAGGTTGACCATGTAGTGGGGCTTGCGGGGAGAGGGCAGCCCGAGAGGTGACTTGATGACCATGCCTGTGATGCCCTCCACCAATGCCCTGCGCGAGAAAGGGGAAGAGGGGGAGTTGGATGAAGGCCTTGGGGTCGTTGTTGGGGTAGCCGCTGAGGAGGTTGACCATGTAGTGGGGCTTGCGGGGAGAGGGCAGCCCGAGAGGTGACTTGATGACCATGCCTGTGATGCCCTCCACCAATGCCCTGCGCGAGAAAGGGGAAGAGGGGGAGTTGGATGAAGGCCTTGGGGTCGTTGTTGGGGTAGCCGCTGAGGAGGTTGACCATGTAGTGGGGCTTGCGGGGGGAGCGCAGCCCGAGAGGTGACTTGATGGCCATGCCTGTGATGCCCTCCACCAATGCCCTGAAGCACGCAGCAGAGGTAAAAGGAAATAGGGGCATGGGAGGAATTTACTTGAGGCGCCTCAAGAATTGGCTTGCGGGGAGGGGACAGGCCCAAATGCGACTTGATGACCATGCCTGTGATGCCCTCCACCAATGTTCTGACGCATTGAGAGGAGAGGAGTGGGGCAGGAATGGAACAGGAATGGAACAGGAATGGAACAGGATTGTATTGTTGAGGCGCCTCAAGAATGACCATCCCTGGGATGCCTCCACCAATGCCCTGTGGAAGGAAGAGGAAGAGGGCATGAGCAAGGGAGAGAAAGAAAGGAAGTCGTTTCTGACGCGCCTCAAGGACAACCACGCCTGTGATGCCTTGCGCTCCACCATTGCCCTGACATGCCCTCCACGCAGCAGAGGTTTGGGGGTATTGTAGCACACATACACACATACACACATACACACATACACACAGACACACACACGCACACGCACACGCGCACGCGCAAGCACGCTCGCGCACACGCACACGTGCACGCGCACGCGCACACGCACACGCACGCACACGCACACGCACACGCATGCACACGCACGCACACGCCCACCTGTCGCTATCATCCACGAACATGACGAGCGTGCCTAGGGTGAGGTCCCCCAAGCCCATAACAGCAGCACTCACTCACACTCAAGCCCGCCCACCTGTCGCTATCCTCCACGACCATACTTTTGAGGCGCCTAACGCACACTCACCTGTCAGCATCGTCCACGAACATGACGAGCGTGCCTAGGGTGAGGTCCCCCAAGCCCATGGCAATGGTGACGTCCTTATAGCGAACCAGGCTGGCGTTATTGGCATACTCCGCCACACACACACGCACACACACACACACGCGCACACACGCACACACGCACGCACACACGCACACGCGCACACGCACACACACGCACGCACACACGCACACGCGCACACGCGCACACGCGCACACGCGCACGCACGCATCCCCCCCCCCCCCCCCAACACACACACACACGCGCGCGCACGCACACACACACGCACACTCACCTGTCAGCATCGTCCACGAACATGACGAGCGTGCCAAGGGTGAGGTCCCCCAAGCCCATGGCAATGGTGACGTCCTTATAGCGAACCAGGCTGGCGTTATTGGCACACCCCGCCACGCCCCAGTAGGTCAGGTTGGTGCTGCTGCGCGGGCCGTATCCGTTCAGCACGCGCAGCAGTGCTGACATCTCCTGCTCATACACACGCAAGATGGAGCGAGAGGGGTTATCAGTTGACTCAAATTACATCTCCTGCTCGCACACGATCGCGCACATACACACCCCTCCATGTGAATTTTACTTTTGAGAATTCTCAAAAGTAAAATTCATCTCCTGCTCGCAAACAATCACGTACACACCCCTCAAAGTACATTCCCTGCGCGGCTGTGAAGGGCGCGGGTCGGAAAAGCGCGAAAGAGAAGGGGGCGGGTGGGAAGGGCGCGAGTGGGAAGGGCGCGAGTGGGAAGGGCGCGAGTGGGAAGGGCGCGAGTGGGAAGGGCGCGAGTGGGAAGGGCGCGAATTGGAAGGGCACGAATTGGAAGGGCACGAATTGGAAGGGCACGAATTGGAAGGGCGCGGGCCAGTGCAATCGCGCCGCCAGCTCTTCTCCCACGCCAGCTCTTCTCCCACGCCAGCTCTTCTCCCACTCCCCTTTCCCTGCTCTCAGCCGTCTTTCCTCCGCTCGCCCCTCTGAGACATCTTAAAGACGTCTCAAAAGTCGACTCAAAAGCAAATTCGCGCTGGCGGCTCTTCTCGCACTTCCCTTTCCCTGCTCTCAGCCGTCTCCCCTCCGCTCTTCTCCCACTTCCCTTTCCCTGCTCTCAGCCGTCTCCCCTCCGCTCTTCTCGCACTTCCCTTTCCCTGCTCTCAGCCGTCTCCCCTCCGCTCTTCTCTTCACTTCCCTTTCCCTGCTCTCAGCCGTCTCCCCTCCGCTCTTCTCGCACTTCCCTTTCCTGCTCTCAGCCGTCTCCCCTCCGCTCTTCTCTCACTTCCCTTTCCCTGCTCTCAGCCGTCTCCCCTCCGCTCTTCTCGCACTTCCCTTTCCCTGCTCTCAGCCGTCTCCCCTCCGCTCTTCTCGCACTTCCCTTTCCCTGCTCTCAGCCGTCTCCCCTCCGCTCTTCTCTTCACTTCCCTTTCCCTGCTCTCAGCCGTCTCCCCTCCGCTCTTCTCGCACTTCCCTTTCCCTGCTCTCAGCCGTCTCCCCTCCGCTCTTCTCTTCACTTCCCTTTCCCTGCTCTCAGCCGTCTCCCCTCCGCTCTTCTCGCACTTCCCTTTCCTGCTCTCAGCCGTCTCCCCTCCGCTCTTCTCTCACTTCCCTTTCCCTGCTCTCAGCCGTCTCCCCTCCGCTCTTCTCGCACTTCCCTTTCCCTGCTCTCAGCCGTCTCCCCTCCGCTCTTCTCGCACTTCCCTTTCCCTGCTCTCAGCCGTCTCCCCTCCGCTCTTCTCTTCACTTCCCTTTCCCTGCTCTCAGCCGTCTCCCCTCCGCTCTTCTCGCACTTCCCTTTCCTGCTCTCAGCCGTCTCCCCTCCGCACTTCTCGCACTTCCCTTTCCTGCTCTCAGCCGTCTCCCCTCCGCTCTTCTCGCACTTCCCTTTCCCTGCTCTCAGCCGTCTCCCCTCCGCTCTTCTCTTCACTTCCCTTTCCCTGCTCTCAGCCGTCTCCCCTCCGCTCTTCTCGCACTTCCCTTTCCCTGCTCTCAGCCGTCTCCCCTCCGCTCTTCTCGCACTTCCCTTTCCCTGCTCTCAGCCGTCTCCCCTCCGCTCTTCTCTTCACTTCCCTTTCCCTGCTCTCAGCCGTCTCCCCTCCGCTCTTCTCGCACTTCCCTTTCCTGCTCTCAGCCGTCTCCCCTCCGCTCTTCTCGCACTTCCCTTTCCTGCTCTCAGCCGTCTCCCCTCCGCTCTTCTCGCACTTCCCTTTCCCTGCTCTCAGCCGTCTCCCCTCCGCTCTTCTCTTCACTTCCCTTTCCCTGCTCTCAGCCGTCTCCCCTCCGCTCTTCTCGCACTTCCCTTTCCCTGCTCTCAGCCGTCTCCCCTCCGCTCTTCTCGCACTTCCCTTTCCCTGCTCTCAGCCGTCTCCCCTCCGCTCTTCTCTCACTTCCCTTTCCCTGCTCTCAGCCGTCTCCCCTCCGCTCTTCTCTTCACTTCCCTTTCCCTGCTCTCAGCCGTCTCCCCTCCGCTCTTCTCGCACTTCCCTTTCCTGCTCTCAGCCGTCTCCCCTCCGCTCTTCTCGCACTTCCCTTTCCTGCTCTCAGCCGCCTCCCCTCCGCTCTTCTCTCACTTCCCTTTCCCTGCTCTCAGCCGTCTCCCCTCCGCTCTTCTCTTCACTTCCCTTTCCCTGCTCTCAGCCGTCTCCCCTCCGCTCTTCTCGCACTTCCCTTTCCCTGCTCTCAGCCGTCTCCCCTCCGCTCTTCTCTCACTTCCCTTTCCTGCTCTCAGCCGTCTCCCCTCCGCTCTTCTCTTCACTTCCCTTTCCCTGCTCTCAGCCGTCTCCCCTCCGCTCTTCTCGCACTTCCCTTTCCCTGCTCTCAGCCGTCTCCCCTCCGCTCTTCTCTCACTTCCCTTTCCCTGCTCTCAGCCGTCTCCCCTCCGCTCTTCTCTTCACTTCCCTTTCCTGCTCTCAGCCGTCTCCCCTCCGCTCTTCTCTCACTTCCCTTTCCCTGCTCTCAGCCGTCTCCCCTCCGCTCTTCTCTCACTTCCCTTTCCCTGCTCTCAGCCGTCTCCCCTCCGTTCTTCTCGCACTTCCCTTTCCTGCTCTCTGCCGTCTCCCCTCCGCTCTTCTCGCACTTCCCTTTCCTGCTCTCAGCCGTCTCCCCTCCGCTCTTCTCGCACTTCCCTTTCCCTGCTCTCAGCCGTCTCCCCTCCGCTCTTCTCGCACTTCCCTTTCCCTGCTCTCAGCCGTCTCCCCTCCGCTCTTCTCTTCACTTCCCTTTCCCTGCTCTCAGCCGTCTCCCCTC